TGATATATTCATCCCACACAGGCAATCGGGTTTATACCGAGCCTGCACACCTGGCTATATGGCCTCCACTGCTGCTCAAGTTCTCCTTTCAGCAGCAAGTCAAAACATGACTGAGATAGGGTAAATGGTCGTAATATACTCAAATTTTCACCCACAGAAAGCTGGGGAGAAGAGATCCTCTGGGATACCAACACTACTACAACAAGCACCATCGTAGTGCATCTCTGGGTAACCTGAACATGGCATGGGGTGGTCACCAAAGGTTTTAATGTCATTCTTATACCTCTCTCATCTTCCACCAGGCATTTTTGCTGTAATTACAGGTGGCAATTGGGTTATCAATTAGCAAGTACATATCAAAGAGGCACAAATATCCTTTATAACACACCTTCTTTCCATTTTCAGTTGTGCCTACTGTACCTTTGTATGTCTTGCTAGCACCATGGGAGTTACTTGTGCGATGCTTATTCCGCAGCCTACAAACTACAGCCTCACCTCTTGGAAATGTCCATCTGTGACTGAGGTCAATGAGGTTACTTCTCTGAACACCAGTATCATCTGAAGGACATCCTTTGCATTGCAAGGAAATAAAAGGTGATCAGAGCATCTTTTTCTCCCAAAATGACAAGTGCGTTTGCAGATGGGAAGAAAACAAAGAGGAACAGATGATTTCAGTGTGACTGCAAACTCTGAGGCACACAGAGGGAAGACAAACCCTAAAAAGTAAATGTAGTGACTTGTCAAACACTACAGATTTCACAAGAAAATGTTCCTTTTAACTGTTCTGCCCTGAGCTCCAGGGGAAAGAGATGTCGCTTTAATTTGGTCACTGTCCCTTATTAATCTTCCCTTAAGTCTGAATTCTCACCTGCAAGGTATGAGCACGTGGGCCAGGTGAACACAGTATCTCCTCCCCTCGTGTTGAAGGTAGCTTGTGGCTGTGCAATCACTGCTCTCACTGGGGACTGTCTCACAGACAAGTCCCATGTCCTGTAGCTTTCTGCTGCTCCTGAATGCTCTTCTCAGGCTCAGGCAGCAGCAGACCAATTTGGGGCACGGGGTCTGAGCTCTGTGCTGCCTGTACAGCTGCTCAGCAGACAACTGGGATGCCCGGGCCTGTGCCAGCTACAAGTCACTGCTGCTCTTTTGCAGGGTGGTGCTGAGGGGGTTGTATCAGGGAAGATGAACTTTTAAATCCTAAGTTAATTGCATTCTTTCAAGGCTATCCAAAAATAAAAGCTGGCAGAAAAGCCACTTCAAGAATGTAATCCAACTCCCAAGTTACCTGAAAAGAAAGTGCAATATCTAGTGCAGTCTGCTTTCACTGTCCCACTCTGCTCCCCGGGTTTCCTTCCGATTTCTTGTGCCTCAGCCTGTGCTCCGGTACTGCAGGCATCTGCTTTGCCTGTGACAATGAAATACCAGGAGGAACTGCACTTGGTGCAACCGGTTCATGTCTAGGGTTTAATTCACAAAAGGAAGCAGGCTGCCCTGGGGAATCCTGAGTCGGACCATGCACAATGAAAGAGAGGCGTTAGGTGCCCAAGTCTGGCAAGTTTAAAGAGGAGTTGTCATAAAAAAAGCTAAAGGGAGAGCAGGAAGGACTAGGAAAGACTGATCTCAAATCTCCTACGTCCTCTTGGCTCATGTACTCATGCACACGGGCGATGGGCGCCCAGGTAGTGCTAGCAGGCAAGAGTAGAGATTTGGAGCTTGGTTTTCATATGCTCTTGAAAAATACTTCGGCTACTGAGTATGAGGGAACTGTAAGGCCACTCCCTGTAAGACCCAATTCAGTAATCGTGCTCTGAACCCTCTCACTAACTGGCCTTGCTGAGCCAGATGGGGCTGGGGACTTTTACGGGACGTAGATACAAGTTGGGGGTCCCTGTTGTTGCGTCAGATACTGGGATATGTGCGCAGCAAGAAATAGGGGCACTGGTGGAAAACTGGGCATGGCTCTGAGGCTAAGCAGCAGGATGGAGTTTATCAAGGATCTTGGGAGTAAAGAAACATTAGACCTAAGTGCATAGGGTAGCAACCAGATGCCCAAATCCCATGGGGAACCCAGCTCTGGGAGCCAACCCAACGCCCCCTGAAGTGGAAAAGAACTGCAAAGGGTCATGCAATGGCACCACTGTGACCAATGGTACCAAAAGCACTCAGAAACATTTAAATCCTATGACAACAGACTGCGTGTCTGCCTCTGACTGCACTCAGAAAGAGGTATGTGCAATTTCATATTACTTCACTCTATTTCCCAGGCAGGAATAGGTAGTTTGAAAACAATTTACAAACATTTAAACAGGTCCCTAATCATAGTTATAATATTCATCCTTTAAAACCAACTTACTGAAAAAATTAAACCCCTTAATTTGCAAATTTATTGTCATAAAAATATAGTTTAAATGCTCACAGAACATGTTTTTATGAGTAAAATGATAAAGCTAAGTAATTCTGCTGTGGCTTGGGATCCTATCTATTCAGATTCTTAGGACCTTTGGGACAGAGCCCGTCTGCCTCGATTTATGCAGCACTTCACACAGCAGAGTCCATTCTAACGAGTAATAGTCCCCGTGATGGCAAATGTACCAAGATCCAACCCTCAGAGAGGTCTAGCTGCAAAAAGAGAGCAGTGCCCCATACACACTCCTAATAAACACATAAATCATCACAGTTAAAGAGATGTACCCCTGGGGGTAATCTTGAGGGAAAAGAACAGATTCTTATTCTTATTCTTACGGTTCCCTGCCTCTGCTCTTTCAAAAAATGGTTCCTGCAGCTCTGGAAGTCGCCTTCCTGAACTGGGTCTTTGCAGTTGGTCTTTGACTATTTCCCAGACCATGACCTGCCCCTACAAATCCTGCTTAAATTTATCCTTCAGTGGACTTCAAATTACGATCACCAAACACTTTTGACATCTGCCTGCTTCTTCAGAGGGTCACTCAAACACAGCATCTGTGATGGAGTGCACAGACAGACGGTCACACAGACACACGGACCTCAGGGGGGGTCTCTCTCTGGCACCAAGGAAGCTCAATGCCTGTTGAATGTGGTTTCTGCCATTCCACATATTCCGAGTCCGTATCACGTAGATACAGAACATGAACATCACTGAGTGTTTCTGGCCATCCTGATAAAAGCTGTGACTACATTTACAGTATGATACAGATCCCTGTATCATGGTTTATCTGTTGCTCTGGTTCCTTCTCCCTCAGGAAAAACATACAATCACTGCCATACTTCCGCTGGCAGGCTCAAGTGTGCAAATGTCCAATTGGAAGTTAGTTTTCTGAGCTTCAATTCCAAAACATTTTGCACCACTACAGACCAGCAACCTGGTCTAGTGGAAGGTGTCCCTGCCCATGGCAGGAGGGTTGGAACTAGATGGTCTGTAAGGGCCCTTCCAACCCACACCATTCTATGATTCTATGAAATTTAAAGGAAAGCAAACCAATGGATACCCCAAACCCATGCAAGACAAAGTAAATAAACAACAAAGTGAAAAATCTCTATATAAAAATTCATGGAAATATTTCCAAACATTTCTAATATTCCTAGTTTGTTTTCATCAGCTTTTTCAATTGCTTCAGCAATCAGCCTGGTACTCATGATCTTGCCTGTAATTACCCAAGTTGTTTTCATGAGCTGACTGTTGTGGCTTCTCAGATTTCAAGTTTAAGTTATACTTCTCACTCGAATCACCAGATTTTTATTACCTTCACAGCACTAAAGGTGTGGCAGAGTATAAGAATTTAGAGAAATGATCCAGAGTTTTGCACGTATTTCTGAAAAAGATTTGCAGTATTTTTTATGCACCCATCTGTCATACTAAACTTGACACTTAGACCAGGTTTTTTTGAAGAGGCTGCTGGTTCTTCAGTGATTTGGGCTAGCACAGGTTAAATATAACTTAAGACAGCAGCAACTGCCTTAGGCCAATTTATGACTTAGTAGCAACATTTCGGGGAAGCCAGCTTCTGAGGGAGCTCCAAGGCAATGCTCTTCTGTATAAACTATGCAATCAGATTTGTGGGAAACAAGTACAGGTTTGGGGCCTCCAGAGAACTGCAAGGAAATAATTTGCATCAATCTCTGCAACAATACTGCAGAAGATGCAAATTTATGACAACAGAGAGCCTACATTCATTTCAGCTACTTATTTTCATTTAAGAGTAATGAAATAAGCATTTCAGTGGTGATGCAAACATTTGACACCAGAGGTGCATACCAGCTTCTCTTGCATTAAATGAGGTCAGTACCTAAGTTGACAAATGTCTGTTTTCAGTTATTCAGTAAGTTGGAATAGTTTTGCACATTTTCACACAGTTTTTGATAATCCCCTGACTTTTTAGAGTTAAGTATCATGTAGAGTTTCACACAAGACTGGCTAAAACCCATCATTTGTAGTCAGGGGAATTCAGTCCATTCTATCCTCTACCACTAAAGTCAGTAGGATTATTCAAGTGAAGCACAATCACCCTAAAACCATAACTGCAGTCACCTACATGTATGTTATATACAGGCCTGCTACAAGGAATCACTGAAGAGCATCGAGTACAACGTTCAGGGCCAGATCCAGACTTCGAAAAACCATGAGATACTGGTTTAGCCAAACCTTATCAACCCCAAGTTTGAATCTGGAGCCAAACTTGCCCATTTTATGCACTGTAATAGAGTTTGGGTTCAGGCTATGTTTGAAGAAGAACGTGTTGGTTTTGACACCATCCTAACCATGCACACCATCCTTCTATCATTGCATGAGATTCTGCATTAAAGTCTCTTCCAAAAACCCCTTTGGCAAAAATTGTAACATTACGGTAAAGATGTTACTGCATATTAGAGAAGACTTATAAAACCCCCAGAAACGAAAATGCTGAACGCCCAATGAATACCAAGGCTGTCTCCGAATTTAAAACTTTCCAGTAGCTTACAGTGATAATTCCGCCCTAATCACCATTTTATTTTTATTAAAGAAACAAAAGGAATTTCAAAAAACTCTACCTAGAATCACTCGTTTCTGCCAAGCGGTTGTTCATGATGGCTAAAGCACCCACCCCTGCGGAGAAACCGTTCTGTCTCGTGTTGATACAAACGTTTCTTGGGTAGCCGTTGGCCGTCTCAGACAACTGCTTTTGCAAAATGGCCAGGGAGACTTTATTCGACGCCGTGAGCTCCCTCATGGAGATCATCTCTCCAGAGAGCCTCCTCCCCTCAGTGTCGCTGTCATACTGTCCATCAGCGTCCATTGAGATGTTATGTCGACGCAGGCGGGCTCCTGGGGTGATGGCATTCCGACGTCCGAGGCGGGCACTTGATTTATGGCACTTTGGGCAACATCTGCATTCGAATTTTTTCAACACCCAGTTCAAAACTTGCTTGATTACGATTGAGATGACATTAAAAAGGGAGTATATGCAACATACCCCCATTAATATAAATATGAAGTTTCCGAATCTGTATAATCCCTGATTTTGGTAGGCAGCATTTTGGCTGCTTACCAAATCTCCAAACCCAATGGTGCTGAAGGTGACAAAGCAATAGTACAAGGAGTCAACGTAGTTCCATCCTTCCACCGCTGTGTACATTGCGGAGGCGCAGCAGGAAAGGGTAATAGCAAAAATTCCCAGAATCAGCATCACGTGGTAAACGGACGGCTTCCACCCCACGAGGCTACCCACCCCAGACATAGCCGGCCCCCTTCGGAAGTTGGGAGGTAGGAGACCACTTCTTCGCAGCTGTCTCTCATGGCACGCCTTCATGATAAACGCCAGGAGAGAGATAATGCGCTCCAAGAAGAGGTTGAAGAAAAGGATCGTCCCGGCACACCCAAAGAGGCCATAAACGATGAGGAATACTTTTCCAGCCACGGTTGCTGGTGTGGTCATTCCAAAACCTAAGGTGTGGAGATAAATAGGTAATGTTAATGACATAGTTTTTCGTGTGTAAGCTCAGGATGTACGTAACGTAGCACACGTCCCATCTCACTGGACAAAAGGAGTGCTATCTCCGAGTCAGTTCAGGCCAACACGAATCCGAGTTTTGTAAAAGGTGAAGAAGGCACCACAAAGCTCAATGCGGTGACTAAAACTCGAGAGCAAGCAAAAAATCCTCGCAGAGGTGAAAGGCAGCACATTAACAGAGCAACATCACTCTGCAAATGCAGGTGGAAGCATTCCTGAGCTCAAACGTCCCCAAGGCGGGATGAGGTGAAGAGGCCAATTCCCCGCTCCCACACATGTGTGCCGGCATGGCCTGACGGAAACTTCAAGGTCTCTGCTCACAAGCTGTAACCCAGCCTAACACTTTCCTTACCGAGGTCTGATTATACCATTCCCGCTGAGAAGATGGAAGGTTTCTTGTTGTAAATCAGGAAAAAAAAAACCCACCTCCCAAATATCGAATATTGTTTTAAAAATAACAGCACTTTGAACTTGTAACCAAGTCCCAGCTGCCACTAGCCCTCCTGGTGCAATCACAGAAGGAAGGAAAAGGCAGGGTCCTGGTTTAAGTCATTGTCGAGACTGGCAGACTGGGAGCACTGTGATCTCACAGAGTGGTAACTGCAGCAGGGAAAAATCACTGCCACACCGTTAAATAGAAAAATTAGAGTATGCAAACTCTGGAGAGATTAATTCACCTCTTCACCACAAGAATTGTCTTTTGACATTACTCATACACACAAATTTTTATATAAGCACTAATGCTATAGCTATAGATTAAGTAACAGCAAAAGTGATCTTAAATTAAAAAAAAAAAACAACAGTAAGTTTGCTCCACATTATTTGCTGATACCAGATATTTTATGAAAAAGAACTACATATATTTCACATACTATTTCAGGAAGATTCTTCTGAAACTCAGTTCTGTAGGTATTGCTCTTGTTCTGCTATTCTTCTCTGTAAAAATAATCAGTGGTTCAGTCAAAAAGCACAGTGATGGGATTGAGGTGACTGCTCATGTCCCATGAATAAATAACCACATCTTATCTAAATTAATGGCTTGCAAAAAATCCACACATTGAAATTTCTTTACCTTATTGTTCCATGAAAATGTTGGGCAAGTAACATATTCAGGGAGGTAAATATGAAAATCAGACCACATCAATGAAAGTTTGTGAAGAAAAAGGAACTACTTTTAGCATAGGGCATAATGAAATAATTAAATCCAGTTTATTATCATAAGGCACCTTTAAACAGCAACTGGAAAATATTCCCTCTGTATTATGAGTTGATTGTTGCTTGAAATCTATTGATTTATTTTTGTAATGCCTATATTTTTCTGGGTAATTTATTTGTGCTACCTTCATACTTCATTGATACAGAACTCTGTTTTTGTTGATAAAAGAATGTAAGTGCTCATGACAAGTAAACTTGGAAATAACTTTTCAGTGACATGAAGGAGCACGAGAAAGAGGTGGTCCCACTTTCACAACAGATATGGCATGCTTGGAAACAGCTGTGTGACAGCAGTTCTGACTGTACTGCACCATCAGCATCTTCACAGTAGAAACAGCTCTTTTTCTGTAAAAACAAAGAAAAACTTCCACAGTGTTGCCAGAAAATAAAAAATCGCCAAAAGGGTAGTTAGATTCTGTTTTCTGTACAGTCTCCCCATTTTGTCGTGCTAAAAGATCCCCTTTCAGCAGATCTCACAAAGCCTGCCTTGGGGTCCCAGGCGTAACACGGAGAAGGGGAAGGTCCTCTCGGTTCCTCCTCTGTGGGATGCAGCTGGTGTCTGGATCGGGCTGGCTGCTCGCGGGAGCCTTCTCATTTGATGATCAATATCACCAGTGTCTGGTCCCCAGAAGAAGCCGGGGAGCCTGTTGCGGTTGCCAGCTAGGGATACCCGGCCAGCTCGTTATGGAGCAGGCATCTGTTCGCCCATGCCTTGTCGGCAAAGCATTTAAACATGTGCTTCACAGCAAGCATGAACATCACCACCAAAATAAATGGCTTTATTGTCACACATATGGCTAGACACATTAATTAATTAATAAGAAAAATAAGATAGTGACAGTTTGGATCAAGCTGTAAATGTGCTGAGGCTTTTTAGTATTTTCTGGTGAACATTCATGAGTGGTGGTGAAGTTCTGTACTTTTGATGTACTTTTAAGCAAGGTTTTCTGACGCATAGTGTCACCAAAATTCAGTACGTAGCTACGCAAGGCGAAATGACCCATGACGGCTACGACAGCGCTAAGACTTACTTAAAGCAAGCAAACAGTAAGGCCAGGCAGAGGTAGTAACTTCAGGTCAAGAGCTGGCAGACAGGAGTGCGCTCAGGCACTCTTCGTGCAGGGTCCTCCTTCGCTGGCCGTGTTCATCCCTTCGGTGGACCACAGGATGTTAGTCCTGGTGTGTCCTGCACAACGCGCCTGAGCTCAGCCCCTGCTCAAGGCCAAGGACACCATGACGCCTGGATGAAATGAGTTCATCTACAACCGCCTGTGCTTCTGAGACAGCACGAGGAAAGACGCACAACAGCGCTGTGCATTTTTCATGGCCCTGACACATATCGTACACGTGCCTTGGGGATGGTTTTGTGTGCCAGGATATTTCAACCTCTCTCATGCTAATTCTGTCCCACGCTGACCCACTGCTTCAGATACAAGCTCTATGGCAGCATTAAGTTCAGCTGTTTGATACTTCTCCTCAGACAGCATTGGAAGAGCTGGGTTGATAAAAACTCTCTTAGAACACCTACCCTTCAGCAGCCTCTCGTGGGTAAGTGCTGGCAATTAATGTACCCTTCACCCTGACATGCATAACAGGTTTTGGGGTTATGATTCTGCTCATTTGGACTTTTAATTTACTTAAGCTGATGATGGATTCAAGAGGTAGTGCAACTGGACAAACTTGTGAAGACTCACGTGCCTTGTGATATGCTTCCCATCGCTCCCCATTTTTTTCCCCCATTTTCTTATGGGTAGAAGAGATGGTTGGTGGCAGAAAACAAGAAGGAATAGCAGCTTTAGGACCTGTGAGCTTCTACTTTCAGGAAAATCGGTTTAGCGATTCCCTTGTCTTACTACATACAGTGTGCCCTCGCAGCCAAGAAGGCCAATGGCATCCTGGGGTGCATTAAGAAGAGTGTGGACAGCAGATCTAGGGAAGTTAACCTCCCCCTCTACTCTGTGCTGGTGAGGCCTCACCTGGAGTGCTGTGTCCAGTTCTGGGCTCCTCAGCTCAAGAAGGACAAGGAACTCCTGGAGAGGGTCCAGTGCAGGGCCACCAAGATGATGAAGGGCCTGGAGCCCCTTCCGTATGAGGAAAGGCTGAGAGAGCTGGGTCTGTTCAGCTTGGAGAAGGGGAGGCTGAGGGGGGATCTTATCAATGCTTATCAATATCTAAAGGGTGGGTGTCAGGAGGATGGGGCCAGGCTCTTCTCAGTGGTGTCCAGTGACAGGACTAGGGGCAGTGGCCATAAACTGGAAAACAGAAGGTTCAACCCGAACATGAGGAAACCTTTCTTCCCTGTGAGGGTGACAGAGCACTGGAACAGGCTGCCCAGAGAGGGGGTGGAGTCTCCTTCTCTGGAGACTTTCCAAAGCCGCCTGGACTTGTTCCTGTGTGATCTACTCCCGGGGATCCTGCTCTGGCAGGGGGGGTGGACTAGATGATCTCTAGAGGGCCCTTCCAACCCCTACCGCTCTGTGTGTGAACCTGTGATTAAAAGAGTTGACAGTTTTCCAGTAAAGATATGTTTAACCACAGATGGAAGAAAGGTTTGGTCACCCTGAAAACTGAACACAAGAAAATCTTCCAGTCTTTACCATAGCATTGTATGTCCCTGCTTCTTTCAGCCAGACCCTCAGCTCTTCTTAGAGAGGCATCCTGCCATGGGACTTGGCTCATACAGCAAGTCAACACAACTGAGCAATCATTTCCAATCCCAGACTGCAGAGCATGAGAGTTGCACCTCCTCTATCACCTCTTAATAATGCAGTTGCACTTAAAGGAATCAAAAGAAACTAGAATTGTTGAATATAACTTTTAAACAAATAATTTCTCATTAATAAACTAAAAAGCCCAAACCCATTTAACTAGAATGCTGCTTCCAGAGGGAAAGAAGTTCTTGCAACATAAAGACTAAGCTCTTACAGGGCTGGTCCCCCAGGAATGTGGGTTACAAAACACAGGCAGATAAACTAAGAGCAACCAACTTGTTCCATATCTGTTTCACACTTGCTTTACTTCACAGCTTTCCATAGTCTTGGTTGGTCTTTGATGAATAACATGTATACTGCATCAAGGAAAACATTACCATACTCTGAATTTTGAGACTAAAATTCCATATTTGGATTCTGATACTCCCTTCAACCCCTTCCACCTCTTAGCATTTCATCATTATTGCCTCTGACAGAGTCATACCTGTATATTTCACAACTACCTCTCATTTATTCTATAGCTCCTTATCACCTAACATCCAGAAACAGTTGCCTTGGATACAGGGTCATAGCTCAGAGCCGACAAAACTGCCGCAGATGGAAACCTTCTGCTGCATCCAGTGCATTTACCCAAGGGGTGAGAATACTAGAAGGCAGTTCTTCCACCTGGCTTTGCATTTTTCAGACTACAGATGAAAAACTTACTTTCCCTTTAAAATCTCTGTCAGTCTGCTTTATTAAATTACTCCCCTTTGGGCTCAAAGAGTAAATTTTTTTAGAGTTTTTCCATTGCCAGAGCCTTTACCATCAAAGTTGCTGTACAATCACATTTGATCTTATTTAGATTACTATCTGGAAACAGAGCTCCTGAACAGTAGTGGTCTGTCCAGCACTGTGTGCATTGAGACACTAAGTCTGAGACATGAGATACCACTGCAGCTTTTAGGGTTGGTCTAACCTGTATCATGCACAAGCGTGCAGTCCTTGGTGACCACGTACTGGAGCAAATATCCCATGGAGAAAATACTGAGTGACTATGCAGCT